TCACCGTGTTTACAATGGTTCCTGGTCACTGTGTTTACAATGGTTCCTGGTCACTGTGTTTACAATGGTTCCTGGTCACTGTGTTTACAATGGTTCCTGGTCACTGTGTTTACAATGGTTCCTGGTCAACTGTGTTTACAATGGTTCCTGGTCACTGTGTTTACAATGGTTCCTGGTCACTGTGTTTACAATGGTTCCTGGTCACTGTGTTTACAATGGTTCCTGGTCACTGTGTTTACAATGGTTCCTGGTCACTGTGTTTACAATGGTTCCTGGTCACTGTGTTTACAATGGTTCCTGGTCACTGTGTTTACAATGGTTCCTGGTCACCGTGTTTACAATGGTTCCTGGTCACTGTGTTTACAATGGTTCCTGGTCACTGTGTTTACAATGGTTCCTGGTCACTGTGTTTACAATGGTTCCTGGTCACTGTGCTTTACAATGGTTCCTGGTCACTGTGGTTACAATGGTTCCTGGTCACTGTGTTTACATGGTTCCTGGTCACTGTGTTTTACAATGGTTCCTGGTCACTGTGTTTACAATGGTTCCTGGTCACTGTGCTTTACAATGGTTCCTGGTCACTGTGTTTACAATGGTTTCCTGGTCAACTCGTGTTTACAATGGTTCCTGGTCACTGTGTTTACAATGGTTCCTGGTCACTGTGTTTACAATGGTTCCTGGTCACTGTGTTTACAATGGTTCCTGGTCACTGTGCTTACAATGGTTCCTGGTCACTGTGTTTACAATGGTTCCTGGTCACTGTGTTTACAATGGTTCCTGGTCACTGTGTTTACAATGGTTCCTGGTCACTGTGTTTACAATGGTTCCTGGTCACTGTGTTTACAATGGTTCCTGGTCACTGTGTTTACAATGGTTCCTGGTCACCGTGTTTACAATGGTTCCTGGTCACTGTGTTTACAATGGTTCCTGGTCACCGTGTTTACAATGGTTCCTGGTCACTGTGCTTACAATGGTTCCTGGTCACTGTGTTTACAATGGTTCCTGGTCACTGTGTTTACAATGGTTCCTGGTCACTGTGTTTACAATGGTTCCTGGTCACTGTTTACAATGGTTTCCGGTCACGTGTTTCAATGTCCTGGTCACTGTGTTTACAATGGTTCCTGGTCACTGTGTTTACAATGGTTCCTGGTCACTGTGTTTACAATGGTTCCTGGTCACTGTGTTTACAATGGTTCCTGGTCACTGTGTTTACAATGGTTCCTGGTCACTGTGTTTACAATGGTTCCTGGTCACTGTGTTTACAATGGTTCCTGGTCACTGTGTTTACAATGGTTCCTGGTCACGTGTTTACAATGGTTCCTGGTCACTGTGTTTACAATGGTTCCTGGTCACTGTGTTTACAATGGTTCCTGGTCACGTGTGTTTACAATGGTTCCTGGTCACTGTGTTTACAATGGTTCCTGGTCACTGTGTTTACAATGGTTCCTGGTCACTGTGTTTACAATGGTTCCTGGTCACTGTGTTTACAATGGTTCCTGGTCACCGTGTTTTACAATGGTTCCTGGTCACTGTGTTTACAATGGTTCCTGGTCACTGTGTTTACAATGGTTCCTGGTCACTGTGTTTACAATGGTTCCTGGTCACTGTGTTTACAATGGTTCCTGGTCACTGTGTTTACAATGGTTCCTGGTCACTGTGTTTACAATGGTTCCTGGTCACTGTGTTTACAATGGTTCCTGGTCACTGTGTTTACAATGGTTCCTGGTCACTGTGCTTACAATGGTTCCTGGTCACTGTGTTTACAATGGTTCCTGGTCACATTGTTTACAATGGTTCCTGGTCACTGTGCTTACAATGGTTCCTGGTCACTGTGTTTACAATGGTTCCTGGTCACTGTGTTTACAATGGTTCCTGGTCACTGTGTTTACAATGGTTCCTGGTCACTGTGTTTACAATGGTTCCTGGTCACTGTGTTTTACAATGGTTCCTGGTCACTGTGTTTACAATGGTTCCTGGTCACTGTGTTTACAATGGTTCCTGGTCACTGTGTTACAATGGTTCCTGGTCACTGTGCTTACAATGGTTCCTGGTCACTGTGTTTACAATGGTTCCTGGTCACTGTGTTTACAATGTTCCTGGTCACTGTGTTTACAATGGTTCCTGGTCACTGTGTTTACAATGGTTCCTGGTCACTGTGTTTACAATGGTTCCTGGTCACTGTGTTTACAATGGTTCCTGGTCACTGTGTTTACAATGGTTCCTGGTCACTGTGTTTTACAATGGTTCCTGGTCACTGTGCTTACAATGGTTCCTGGTCACTGTGTTTACAATGGTTCCTGGTCACTGTGTTTACAATGGTTCCTGGTCACTGTGTTTACAATGGTTCCTGGTCACTGTGTTTACAATGGTTCCTGGTCACTGTGTTTACAATGGTTCCTGGTCACTGTGTTTACAATGGTTCCTGGTCACTGTGTTTACAATGGTTCCTGGTCACTGTGTTTACAATGGTTCCTGGTCATGTGTTTACAATGGTTCCTGGTCACTGTGTTTACATGGTTCCTGGTCACTGTGTTTACAATGGTTCCTGGTCACTGTGTTTACATGGTTCCTGGTCACTGTGTTTACAATGGTTCCTGGTCACTGTGTTTACAATGGTTCCTGGTCACTGTGTTTACAATGGTTCCTGGTCACTGTGTTTACAATGGTTCCTGGTCACTGTGTTTACAATGGTTCCTGGTCACTGTGTTTACAATGGTTCCTGGTCACTGTGTTTACAATGGTTCCTGGTCACTGTGTTTACAATGGTTCCTGGTCACTGTGTTTACAATGGTTCCTGGTCACTGTGTTTACAATGGTTCCTGGTCACTGTGTTTACAATGGTTCCTGGTCACTGTGGTTTACAATGGTTCCTGGTCACTGTGTTTACAAATGGTTCCTGGTCACTGTGTTTACAATGGTTCCTGGTCACTGTGTTTACAATGGTTCCTGGTCACTGTGTTTACAATGGTTCCTGGTCACTGTGTTTACAATGGTTCCTTGGGATATTCCAGTATATTCCAGTTTACCTTTAATGAGCTTTTGTTTAATAGTGTTTAAAGTGCGTTGTAATTACTGGTGGTTCTGGTGGCCTGGTGGTTAACGCTCTCGCTTCACACGGTGAGGGCCCGGGTTCGATTCCCAGCCAGAGTAGAAACATTGGACGTGTTTCTTTCCACCTGTTGTCTATGTTCCCCATCAGTAAAATAGGTACCTGGGTGTTAGTCGACTGGTGTGGGTCGCATCCTGGGACACTGACCTAAGGAGGCCTGGTCACAGACCGGGCCGCGGGGGCGTTGACCCCCGGAACTCTATCCAGGTAATACCTCAGATATATACACACACACATTCTTCGTTAAGTTAGGTAAGGTTTGTCAGGAAGAAGGACAAGTGTTTCCTGACGCTGGTGTTTGTTATATGGTGACCCACAGCTGGAGCTTAACAGTAACAATGTTATTTGTAATACACACTCTGCATATTACCTGTGTTATCCCTGTTATGCATTGTTGACCTGGTCAAGACCACACCAGACCTGGTCAAGACCACACCAGACCTGGTCAAGACCACACCAGACCTGGTCAAGACCACACCAGAACTGGTCAAGACCACACCAGACCTGGTAAGACCGCACCAGACCTGGTCAAGACCACACCAGACCTTGTAAGACCACACCAGACCTGGTCAAGACCACACCAGACCTGGTAAGACCGCACCAGACCTGGTCAAGACCACACCAGACCTGGTAAAACCACACCAGACCTGGTAAGACCACATCAGACCTGGTCAAGACCACACCAGACCTGGTAAGACCACATCAGACTTGGTCAAGACCACACCAGACCTGGTAAGACCACACCAGACCTGGTCAAGACCACACCAGACCTGGTAAGACCACACCAGACCTGGTCAAGACCACACCAGACCTGGTAAGACCACACCAGACCTGGTCAAGACCACACCAGACCTGGTAAGACCACACCAGACCTGGTAAGATACCACCAGACCTGGTCAAGACCACACCAGACCTGGTAAGACCACACCAGAACTGGTCAAGACCACACCAGACTTGGTCAAAACCACACCAGACCTGGTAAGACCACACCAGACCTGGTCAAGACTACACCAGACCTGGTCAAGACCACACCAAACCTGGTAAGACCACACCAAACCTGGTCAAGACCACACCAGACCTGGTAAGACCACACCAGACCTGGTCAAGACTATTCCAGACCTGGTCAAGACCGCACCAGACCTTGTCAAGACCACACCAGACCTGGTCAAGACCACACCAGACCTGGTAAGACCACACCAGACCTGGTCAAGGCTACAGACCTGGTAAGACCACACCAGACCTGGTCAAGACCACACCAGACCTGGTAAGACCACACCAGACCTGGTCAAGACCACACCAGACCTGGTCAAGACTACACCAGACCTGGTCAAGACCACACCAGATCTGGCAAGACCACACCAGACCTGGTAAGACCACACCAGACCTGGTCAAGACCACACCAGACCTGGTAAGACCACACCAGACCTGGTCAAGACCACACCAGACCTGGTCAAGACCACGATGTGATTAGAGGGAAAGAAATTGATCTTCATTTCAATCAAGGGAAAGCGCTAGACCCGTATGAGTCATGCAGCGCCTGAGTACTGGGAGGCAACCAAGTTGAATCAGAGGCAGGAGAGGATAGCTCCAGTTCCTGGGATGAGGAACCCTCACCGGTATCAAAGGTTGTGATAACTGCGATATTATTATTATTATTATTATTATTATTATTATTATTATTATTATTTTTATTTTGTTTTATTATTATTTTGTGCTCACCTAGTTGTGTTTGCAGGGGGTCAGTTCACCGCTCCGTACATAACACGCACATGACTGGTTGAAGCAGTAGGTAGTGTTACAGTGTGTTACAGTGACGATGTTGTGTTGCGTGTGTTACAGTGATGTGGTGTGTTACAGTGTTGCGTGTGTTACAGTGATGACGTTGTGTTGTGTTGCAGTGAGTGGGTGGGTGGCAGCTGTGGTGGAGGAGGGGCAGTCTCCGTAGTGACAACAGTGTGGGGAGTCACCAGCACCACAACCCAAAGCACGCCCACGCCCACAACACCCAACTGCACCACCACGCCCAACATGCCGGCTCAACCATTCAACCCACACACCAAACCCTACGCTAATATGGTCAACTACCCTACCAAGTCCAATGGGTGAGTCTTAGCCTTCCACCACCGCTACTCTCTCGATGCTATGTTAATCCTGCCAGAGCTAGGCTCTGTCATCCTTCCCCATCCCTAGTCAAGTGTCACTGAAATAAGAATATAAGAGGAATTTTATGGGGAT